CCCCAAAACCCCAAAACCCCAAAACCCCAGACAATTATTCGGAAATTGAACTTCTCTAAACTCCTTGTAGCGTATTGGAGGTTTTAAAGGACCAAATCAGTGAGAGAAAACCGTATGGATAGGAAGTTTGACCCATTGTATGTTTGTGAAGGCTAGAAGATATTTTATGTATGACAAGCACAGTTTCATTCTAAAAATTACTCATTTTAGCATTATTCTTTATCCCTTATTCCAACTCTGAGTAGCTAGATGTTCACACAGAATTTTCTCATGCAGGTAAAGTTCTTATGATAGGACCCTCACTTAGTTTATGGGGTCGAGATATATTGATATTTCAACTTTTTAAGGATTCTAATTTCGAAAACAACTCCTTCAATCTTTTAAGAACTAAATCTTCCTGAAGCACTGGCTCTTGAGGTTTAGGTTGACACTCAAGTGTCTACAATGTTATAAAATAGCTACCTTTGCTCTTGTAATGGCTCTTGGTTTCATTGAGGAAACCTTAAAATCAGGATTTCCATTATTCCTCACCTCTATGTTAGGAATATTTCGGCTCATTGTACGTTGCGAGTTATTTCAGATTCATTTGATTAACTTTCTTCAATTCTATACCATCAAATGACTGACATACTTTGCTTGGTGATCTTGATCCTATTGGACTTCCTCTCATCAGTTGATATGAGCTTTTCCCTTGTAGTTTTGATATATTTCATCCTACATGATGATCAGTGCTCAAAGATACCCTTCAATTGATCCTAAAGTTTCATGAAGTGTTGAAGTTATTCCCATTCTCGTGCTACTATAAGGATCTCTGTGGATTTTCCTAAACACTCAATTCTTAAAAATACTTATCGACAGATTTCCGGGACCTTGAGGCTAAGGAGCTCTCTCTGAACCTGCCAAATTTGCTCTTGGATTTCTTCCGAGTCCCATAAATCTTGGTCAAGGCAAATTTTGTATGAGATTTTGTCTTATTCACTGAATTCTTTGATGGAAGTTTAGCAAATAAGGAAGATTGCCTAAAATATTAACAGTAAATTACTTTTTAAGCTTTCTGTTCTTTGACTTTCACAACAATTTTAGCTTATTCTTCTTATTCCTAGAGTTGCTAAACTGGAGCTGGGAAGAGCAATCTCTTCCAGAGTCCGAGAATGGGGAGTGTATGCGTGAGCTTTGGATATAATCAGGGTGAAATCTTTGTGCCATCGATGTATAGCCATCAGGTTTATCAACTAGAGATCGAAAATACACTTACTCATGTCATATCTAACTCCAGTAATGTCTCTATCAAGAGATAAGATATCTTTTCTCTTAATTTGTTTTCATAATTGGTTTTGTCGCCTAAAAATGGGAGAAAAGAACTACCTTAATAGCCTTGGTGCTCTGCATATTCCTTTTTATAATATTTCTAGGGATGTCATTCTTCTAAAACTGTTGTAGATAAGAATGTAGGGATTCACAAAACACTTAAGGATGTTCAATATTCCAAACTATCACAAAAAGGTATATTTTGGGATAAAACTCAATCAGGCTAGTTACCTTCTCTTAAAATAGTAAAATCAAACTACTATATAAAAATTATTTGAACTCTAATTAAATCGAGAGAGTTTTAAAAATTTAGAGGAACAGCTCTTAAGCTAGCTAATGTATCATGTGAGGTCAAATGGCTTACCTGGCCTTTAGAACTTTTGTATAAGAGTCCATGGATATGAATGTCTTTATGAATCGGTACCATATTCATTATGTCAGCCTTCATTTTATTATATTTAAAATTTCAATATAAATCAAGGATTTTGGGGTTTTGGGGTTTTGGGGTTTTGGGGTTTTGGGG